TTTTTGGTTTTAACATTTATAACAGAGTACTAGATTTACCGCTTTTTGGCAGGTGATACTGCTGATTTAGTAATAAATATGCATGTTTCCAAAAGTTTTTATGCATAAATGAATTCATTTAAACCAAGAAAATGTTCATGAAAAGTTAGAATAAATTCTGTGCACCGGTAAAAAAGAAATTGCTAAAAATCCAAAATCCGGGACCGTCGGGCGTCGGGAAGACTAGATTTACCGCTTGCCGTCAGTATGTAGAGTTGTCGTTCGTATCTCTTTCAGTGTTATAGATGACGTTATACTAAAAATGAGTTCCTTTACGAAAAACTTTTGAGGTTCTTTATAATTTAGTTTTCCTTTGAACGAAATCTAATATTGAAAATAAGATAACTTTGTCATTACATTTACTTGCATTTCAAATTATAAAAATTAGCACAGGGAATGACGCCATCCATGTTTTAACCAAAGATCAGGACCAGGATCTGCGAGTGGATCTCCAGAAATTTAACGGAGACATGGCGTACGCTGAATATTCAACATTTTATATCGGAAACGAGGCTTATAAATACCAACTCACAGTGTCTGGTTACACAGGAAATGCAGGTAATTTATTTTTATTGGAAGAACGTACTTAATAGCCCTGTTGCAACACTTATGTTACTCATTAGAGTCTAAGGTTTACCTTCGACAGCACAACACCATACTCTGTGGATAAAAATGTCGATTGATACTTATATTTAAAAAAAAATTATAATTGTAATATAATAAACATCAAGTCATTTCAGCTGATCACAACAATAATTATGAAACATTACAATGAATAGTTATTCATAGTTCTTGAAAGACAACCTTGGAATATCAGTTAGGTTAACGTGAATTGATTTTATTTGATAAAAGTAGACATTATATTACATTGTATATGCATAAACGATGAATTTGCCAGCATTGTAAATTGTAAAACACAAATCTTAAATTCATTTGCTCTGCTTGGAGTATGTAAATAAAGAAGATATCAAATTTTCTTTTTCATACTTATTAATTGAGTACTGGATTACGATTTGTTTGATTTACTTATTTGTGATAGATATAGACTCGAATTCGTATTATATTTTATTCAACTTAATTCAAATAAACGTTTTTCTAATATGAATCGAATTTATTTAGTCGTGTCAGATGTGCTTACAAATTTCTAAATGGCGGTATTCATAACTTCAGTGAAACGAATTATTAGATATGCAAAGGAATGAGATAATATCCAGTTTTTTATTCTCGCCCCCCCCCCCCTCCCCCGCAAACAAAATTACACAAATCTGTGAAAAGGGCATAAAACACACAAGTTTAAGATGTGTTGTAATATCTCCTTTTTCAATCAAAAATTATTGCTAAACAAAGAGTATGAGTAACAATCTTTAAATACATAGTAAATCTTATGTCCAAATGACTCTACCTTACTTTGATTCTCAATGACCGGGTAATGTAAGGAGAGGCCGCAAGTATTCAATCGGCATTGAAATATATCTCCATGGAATAGAGTTGAAAATATGTTTTTACCTATATTACTCATAATTCTACACATATATCAGTTATTGTTTCCAATTTCTACCGTAGGTGATAGTTTGGCTCCACATAATGGTATGAGATTCAGTAATTCTACACATATATCAGTTATTGTTTCCCATTCCTGCTGTAGGTGACAGTTTGGGTCCACATAATGATATGAGATTCAGTAATTCTACACCTATAACAGTTATTGTTTCCATTCCTGCTGTAGGTGACAGTTTGGGTCCACATAATGATATGAGATTCAGTAATTCTACACCTATATCAGTTATTATTTCCCATTCCTGCTGTAGGTGACAGTTTGGCTCCAAATAATGGTATGAGATTCAGTACAAAGGACCAAGATAATGATAAAGCTAGTTACAACTGTGCTATAAATCATCACGGAGCATGGTGGTACAGTGCTTGTACAAACTCAAATCTTAAAGGGAAATATGCACTGTCTGCGGTGACTAGCTATAAATGTCCGTATTGGTATCGCTGGACAAACGGATATAGAGCACTACAAAGGACTGTTATGATGATAAGACACAAATGCCCGAGTTAATGGAAAAGCAGTCCTATATAATGATTTTCTATAAGAAATATAAGGAGCCTACTTTCAATGACTTATTTTTGTGTTTTCTAGTGTTTATATTCTTTATTTTGTGATGGAAAATAATCTTGTTTTTTTTTATGAGAACGATATAGTAAAACACGCCCACGGGTTCTAATGAATTAACGTGTACAAGAAAGTTAATTCCATTTCACATGATTTTGAAATGTGTTGCTAGCTAAACGAATCTAATAAATTAAGTTACCCCCCCCCCGAAAAAAAAGTTTGTTCCTTGCTCTTTGCTTTATATAGGTTTGAAATTATTTCGCCTTTAAATCTGAACAATATATAATATGATTTAAAAAAAATTACACAATAAGTTATATAATAATAACATATTTAAACCGCAGAATGTATCCGAAAGTTTAATGTAATTACATATTTCTAACGTAATGAGCATAAACCCACTGTGAGACATCAATGCCATTATTACAGTAAGTGCTGGTAGGAGCATGATCCGTCACTGCTCAAAACCCTAAGTGCCGAGTACAGGTCAATATTTGCAGTCCTCCACAAGCAAGTAGTGGCGCCTGAGACGGCATGAATTATCTTCGAAAGACCGTAAAACGTGACATGGAAACAAACAAAGGCTAACAATCAATACATTCACATCACCATCTATAAGTGCTTTAAGTTCTTTGATTATTAGATGATCCAGCATATAAAACACATGGCTAATTACCTTGGAATATCTGCAATATTTCAGCATTGTCCTTGTTGGGTTTTTTTTTTAACAAAGACAATGATCACAAAATCTTAGTGTCCCTTTTAACATCAAAGCCCTTTCTTTGTAAATTTTATAATTCTAGGCAAATTCTTTTTCTCATCATGTTTTGTTTTTCATTAGTATCTATTTTTATCCTAATTCATAAGTAACTTGTACCAAAGAAAAACTTTAAATGATCATTCTGTCTTATTCCTTTTTCTTTTGAAGATAAGCATTCTTTCATTTTTTTATATAGAATAATTAAAACCAGAATCCCATCACAGGTAATTGAGACAGATGCTAAATTTGTTTCAATATACTAGTATACCAGAGATAATAAATCTTTTTGATGTTATTTAGCCATCTTAATCAACTAATTCAAATACACGTGTATCATGCTCTTTAATATCACTAAAAGTACAACTTATCTGTTTTGTTATTCAAGCATAATCATATAATAAGTGACTTTCTGATATCCATGACCTGTTCGTATAACTTCAAAAGATGGGATATTACGTAAATACTGCGCAAAACATTTCTTATTACCTCAATGTCTTGGCACATGAAGAGAAACAAATATCTTTTATTTTGTCCGATTTGATATAAATATCCTTATTCTTTGCCAGAATATAAATTGCAGTCCTGAATTGCAAGCAAAAGAAAACGATTTGACAAAATGTATATTCTACAAAGTCTAATGTGTCTTATAATTTTGCTGAATGTCGGAAAAGTCTTAGCTGAGAGTAACAATCTAGAGAAATCTATTATGGTCGGAAGCACGACATCGGGAGGAAAAGAGTCCAATGTTTTAAGGGACATCCTGAACCAAGAGAGTCTAGTGAGGTTTTCTATGGTTCAGAGAATCCAGAACTTAGTAATGGACGTTATAGAGAGCAAAAATAATTCTCAGGTGATGAAGCAGGAAATGGCAATGTTAACAAAGGAGTTAAAGGATCTAGAGACAAGAGACAACGGTATCGAAACAGAGGCTACAAAACTAAAACAGATGTTTAACGCATTGAATGAGACAGTAAGAAGTAACCAAGATCGGACTATTGACACAATTCAAGATTTAAAGGATGGGGAATTAGTGTCAATAACAAATAAGGCTTCAGTTCTCCAGAAAGAAAGTCAAGAATTACTGGTGGAAAACAGAAAAAATAAAGCAGCAGTTGGAGATGCAGAACAAAACCATTTCATTGTTAAACGTTTCTTACAATGTTTTACAGGAAGAAATTAAGCAAATTAAAAATAGAGAACTGGATGTCGGAAATAAATCCAAAATATTTTCAACAGATAATGAATTATTTAGAGAACAACTAAATGACGTAAGAAATACTCTAAGAGAACTCAAAGGTTCCTTATATAAGGGACGGTTTCAAAAGATGGAAAATAGTTTTAGGGACTACTCAATATCAATCAATGAGACCCTGGATGGATTACTCGAGGATCATAGAGTTCTTAATCAACAGGTTTTGAACGTTTCTTCTTCTCTGTCTAATGGTAAGTTGTATTTTAAGTAGATATTCCTCTTAATAGTGTTATGTTCTTATTTATTTGTTTCCTTGGAATCTTAACAACATAACTTTAATCCTCATAGCACAAAAAAAATAATCAAATAAAAAAACTGAAATGAATTGTTCATATTTTGATATTTGATAGCTTATCCCTTTATACCCACGTTTTGCAGAGGACAAAATAAAGTTATTTATTTAATAATCATAAAATTGTCTTAAAATTCATCCGATCTTTTTGGATCATTTATCCTTCTAACCTAAGTTCCTTGTTTATAAGTTTCAAAACTTAATTATGATGTGATATACTGTCTTTGAGTTCACATTGACAAATTCCTATTGATGAAAGTATGTTTTAGCTTGATAGCAATAACTTATTTTTGTTACGTGTTTTGTTTTTTCTCAGCCAAACATAAAGTTGTTCTTATTTTAAACCGCAGATCTGAAAGTGATGGGGAAAAGATTTTTGTTAGCAACCATGTCATCAAATCTTAGAATCAATACGACAGCTTGAGTAAGGAATATTCATCGAAACAAACTTCAGTTTTGAATAGAACCTACAAATATGAATTATGTGAGATGCGCAAATGATCTTGAGTTTTCAGATACCATATATATCGTATTTCAAAAGGCATAAATTGTGATGAAGTACATTTGATGACTTCTTCCTATATACAGTCAAGCTTATTTGATACATATTTAGTAATATGTATTTACGTTAACGAGAACAGTCTTAAAGTTATAAATCATTTTATCATGCAGTAATTTACTTAGATAACCAAGGTAAAATCAATGCAATATTGCGTACAATATCACTTATGTAGGATACACGACACAAATATAAAGAATTGAAAGAATGAAATTGGTATATTTATAAACTAGTCAAAATCCTAAGATCCTTGCTGGGGTTCAATTTTCATTGGCAGTGCCACTAGCGTCAAACCTTCTGCGCAAACTTAAGTGGTGACTCTTCTGTGCCTGCCAAACGCTCGGCATTGAAGTGAAATTATTGGTCTTTAGATTAGACCTAAAAAAGCAAAGATCTGTTCCTCGGCAGGAGTTAGGTCAATAAAATACATTCGCCGCTCAAAAATCGAAGTCTCGTGTCTCGAGAGAAGTTTGCAAAAGTTTGATTGATTGATTGTATATTGTTTAACGTCCCTCTCGAAAATTTTTCATTCATATGGAGACGTCACCGTATGCCGGTGAAGGGCTTCCAATTTTGACCTTTACTCGGCACTCAGGGCCATTGAGCAGTGAGGGATCTTTATCGTGCCAACGCCTGCCGCTGACACGGGGCCTCGGTTTTTAAGGTCTCATCCGTAGGACCCGCAATTTTCACTTCAAAGTGCCGAGCGCATGGCGAAGGAACAGTTGCTACCCATTTTAATGACTAGGTCAGTCGCGGCCGAGATAGGAACTCACGACCTCCCGATCACGGAGCGAGCGCTCTACCAACTGAGCTACCGTGAACGGTTGCAGAAGTTTGAAGGTCTTCTCGGTATATCGTGATGTCTCTTAATAAGCGAAACATTCTATATAGGTTAAAGAACGTACAATCAATCAATTAAAATCCTGATATACACTGTATATAAAATTGTACATTTTCTACTAAGATCAATTTTTCGTCCGTCTTCTAACCTATCCTTTTTGCTGAAACCATTTAGGCCTATATGATATACTATTATCTGGGAGATGTTTTTTTTAATTGAAAGGTAAAACAACCGCTTTTTTTTATTTTTTGCAGTTGAATTAATATTGCAACCGAAATCATGCTACAATGTCCTTGAACAAAACAAATCATTGAAAGGAAAAGATGGCGTATATAAGATTTCGATTAATTCTGACATCACTTCCGTCTTTTGTGACATGACCACGGATGGAGGCGGATGGACGGTAGGTACAAATAGGTCACGTGATACAGATTACTTCGTGTGTGTTTGTTTGTGTGAGAGAGTGTATGCGTGTATATTAATAGCTAGCGCATGCAGCGAGTGTCGCGAAGCGACGCTCGTCACTGCGAGCTCTTAAAGCGACACCTGTGCGAAGAGAAATGTTAGTAGCGAGCGCAAGGAGCGTCGCGAAGCTCGTAACTGCGAGCTCTAACGACAACGCCTGGGCGAAGAGAAAATTCAGACTACTGCACATTCATTCAATAGAATTTTTCCGCAGTAATTTGACCCACAATGCATCGCTTCGTACACAAACACCAAAGCCACGTTCTCGTGAGAATAATTACAAAATTAAAGTTAAAAGAAAAATAAACTTGCCTTGATTTCATGAATTCATCTGTTTATTGCAGAAAAATAATCATAAACTGATTGAAACCAGACTTCGGTTTGGTAAAGCAACATGCAAACGAGTGAAACGACGTCATATGATAAGTATCTGCGCTCGTCCTAACGGTCGCACCGTCAACATATTAGAACATTCATTCGGTAGTATTTTTTGACGCAGTAATTTAGACCCACAATGCATCACTTGCTTTAGCTACGTTCTCGCGAGAATAACGACAAATGTTCAATAAAAAGTTTACTCGCCTTGATTTAATGGATATGTATTGAAGATAAATAGTAAACTAAACGTTATTCATTAATTTTCACACCTTGTTCAGGTTTTTTTCTTGGTATTGCAACTCACAAAGGACGTATTGTGACGTCAGAGTCTAAATGCACCAAATGTCACGTGCGTTTTGACGAGCCCGATCTTAAATTAAAGCAATCGAAGAGTTTGCGCTCGCTCTAACGTTGAACGGTCAACATATTATGACGGAATATGTATATGTGTGAATTTTTGCATGTAGGTTTGTAATTATACATGTATATTTATATGTCCGTTTGCAGGTATACATGTATGTTTACATATAAGTTTGTGTGAATACGTGTACTAGTATGTTTATTTCTAAATATAAATGCATGTTTGCCTGTAAAGTTTAATTATTTGTATTTATTTGTTTGTAAGTTTTTTTTCTATATGCATTTTTAATTATCTAAGTTTGTTTTCATACTTTTATGCTATAGATTTATCTTTTTATGTATGGATAGATGGTACACATGAATCGAAATAAATGATCAATTTTTCAAACTGAAAGAAAGGTCTGTATCTGAAAGTTAGTAGCAATAGATAAAAGCCTTTTATCGTATTTATAGGTTATACAGAAAAGAATAGACGGATCAACTGATTTCTATCGAACTTGGGAAGAATATAAAAAAGGTTTTGGGGATCCAAAGAACAACTACTGGATTGGTAAGAATACATACTTTGAAATGAAAATTCATTGTTGATATTTATACTGCATGTTTGTAGTTGTGGGAAACATTGAAAAGTTTAACCCTGATAAACCCATTGTCAACTGAAAATGACCCAAGGTTAAAATGGTTTTCGAGGGATGAAAATTTACATTGTTACCCTAAGCTACTTGTGGTTATTTATTATATAACACTGACTCTTTCATACAAATATAAGAAAAGTTAAGCACTGTCAAACGTGTCTGATACAATGTGTTATTATGCTTACCCGTCTTAGTTTAATGACAGTATAAGTTTGCAATCTCCATTGAAAATTGTAAAAATTTTAATAATGAAAACCTAAACGAAGAAATAAGCGCAATTAAACAGTCAATCAGCAATGACAAAAACAGCTTTTATCTTAAATAAATTAGCTACATAGTAATCAAGTGAATTTCTTATGTTATGGGTCAGAATAACCTTTTAGTCAGCAAAAATCATTCACACAGTTTACACTTAATTTAAAATATTACAATTTATTTACAGAAATATAAAGAAATAAAATAATACAAACTTACAAGAAGAATCCAAAGATTCATACAAAAGAGTGACAGTTTCTACACAACAAAATGTCCCACTTAGAGTATTCTATCCCAGTGTCTCATAGGTACTCTATTCTCCTTGATACTCTACTCTCTTTATTACTCTTCTCTCTTAGGAACACTACTCTCCTAGGTACTCAGCCCTCTTAGGTACTATACTCTCTTTGGAACTCTACTCTCTTATGTATTCAAGTCTCTTTTTGTACGCTATCCTCTTTGGAATTCAGTCTCTGAAGATACTCTACTCGTTTAACTCTACTCTCTTTTTGATACTCTACTCTATTAGGTACTCTTCTTTCTTAGGTACTCTACTCTCTAGGTACTCTACTCTCTTAGAGACTCTACTGTCTTTGGGTAACTGTACTCTCTTGGGTACTCTACTCTCTTTGTTACTTATCTCTCTTTAGTTCTCTACTGTCTTAGGGACTCTACTCTCTTTGGTACTCTACTCCAGAGTTCTCCATCATTTTTAATTTTACTGTGTTGCAAAGTTTCCGCGAAGGGCTAAAATTTCGCTGGCATTTCTGCATCAAATTCGCAAAGTTCTGAATCACTATTCATTATACATGCACAAACTTTTTAAAATAAGTGTAATTTGTTACACAAATGTTTTGGTCGTATATATTGATCACAGTAAAAACACTTGTTCTGAAAAGCAGAGGAAATTCTGATCGATACATTTGAACTACGTAAACTTAACATTTTTAAATGTAATTCTGCCGTGATTATTTGTCAGTTTTCTTGATCGAATTACTGAATTACAAAAAAAGAGAAACTTCAGAATGATAAAATACTTTTAAGAGTTCCATTGTTGAATATTTTAAGCAATTTATTTACATCTATTAGATGATTCTGGTACGACTTATGTTTGACTTGCAGTGCTTTATACATATTTCAAGAGCCGTGGCTCTATATAAAAGACGTAATTATATATTTTTTTAAGAAAAGAATAAAAAAAGAATAATGCAATCTATTTTAATGTAACTACATGTACCAATTAACCGTAACATGTAAGTTTGAAACGCAGATTATTTGTCTTTGTTCCTTCATGAGTAAAGTCCGGCGAGGGTCTAGGAGATAATTGATCATGCAGGATAAGCCCTAGTAATTAAGTGATCTACCTTATAGAATTGAAAGACGGTAGAATTGTTTGATTAAAGTTTCAGTGAGATAGAATTTGTGTGTTTAGAATTTCAAGATTTTACTGTGTCGGCAAAATTTTTACTGTGTCGTACGCATAAAATTTGAATCGTTACTATGCCGGAGAATTTGTTACTCTGTCGGGAGCAATACAGTGAAACGGTTCAATGAGAACCCTGCTCTACTCTATTTGGTACTCTACTCTGTTAAATACTCTTCTCTCTAAGGTACTCTACTACTTGGTACTCTACTCTCTTAGGTACTCCACTCTCTTAGGTACTTTTCTCTTTTGGTTTTCTACTCTCTTAGGTACTCTACTCTCTAAGGTTTGCTACTCTCTTTGGTACTCTACTCTCTTAGGTACTCTACTCTCTTAGATACTCTACTTTCTTAGGTTCTCTACTTTCTTAGGTACTCTACTCTCTTGGTACTTGGCTTATTTTGATTCTACTCTCTTTGATATGCTACTGTCTTTGGTACTCTACTCTCTTTGGTACTCTTCTCAAAGGTACGTAACTCTCTTTGGTACTCTACTCTCTTTAGTACTCTACTGTCTTAAATACTCTACTCTCTTAGTTACTCTTCTCTCTTTGGTTCTCTACTCTCTTATGTACTCTACTCTCTAAGGTACTCTACTCTCTTTGGTACTCTACTCTCTTAGGTACTCTACTCTCTATTTTTCTATACTGTCTTTGGTTCTTACTCTTTTTGGTACTCTACTCTCTTTCTCTAAAATCTTACTCTCTTAAGTACTCTATTCTCTTAGGTACTCTACTCTTTTTGGTACTCAACTCTCTTAAGCACTCTACTCTTCTCTAGCACTCTACTCTCTTTGGTACTCTACGCTCTTTGGTTGTCAACTCGTTTTGGTGCTCTACTCTCTTTGATACTCTTCTGTCTATAGTATTCTTCTCTCTTTGGTACTCTTCTGTCTATGCACTTAATCTCTCAGTAACGCTTTTCTCTTAGATACTCTATTCTCCTTATTACTCTTCTGTCTATGGTACTCTACTCTCTTAGGTATTCTTCTCAATATCTTATTTCTTTGGTACTCTACTCTCTTAGGCACTCTACTCTCTTTGGTACTCTACTCTATTTGATACTCTACATTTTTAATATCTCATTTTTGGTACTATACTCTATATGGGGACTCTCTTAGTTACTCTTCTTCTTTGGTTCTTACTTCTATGTACTCTTCTCTCTATGGTTCTCTATTGTCTTTGGTACTCTACTCTTTTTGGTACTCTACTCTTTTTCGTACTCTTCTCTCTTAGGTACTCTTCTCTCTTAGGTACTCAACGCTCTTTGGTACTCTAATCTTTTTGGTACTATACTCTCTTTAGTACTCTACTCTCTTAGGTACTCAACTCTCTTTGGTTCTCTACTCTCTTTGGTACTTTACTGTCTTAGGTACTCTACTCTCTTTGGAAGTTTATTCTTTTTGGTTCTCTATCCTCTTAAGTACTCTTCTCTCTTAGGTACTCTTCTCCTAGGTACTCAACGCTCTTTGGTACTCTACTCTTTTTGGTACTCTAGTCACTTAAGTACTCTACTCTCTTTGGTACTCAACTTTGTTTGATTCTCTATTCTTTTTTGTACTCTACTCTCTAAGGTACTCTCCTCTGTCTTTGGTACTCTACAATCTTTGGCACTCTAGTCACTAGGGTACTCTACTCTCTAAGGTTCGTACAATTTCTACCGTCTTAGGTTCTTTACTCTCTTTGTCTCACTGTACTCTCTTTGGTACCTTATTCTCTTTGTATACTCCACTCTCTTTAGTACTCTTCTCTCTTTGATACTTCTTCTTTCTTAGGTGCTCTACTCTTTTTGGCAGTCTACTCTTTTAGGCACTCTATTTTTTTGGGCACTCTGATCTTTTTGGAACTCCAATCTTTTTGGTATTCCACTCTCTTTAGTAGTCATAACTTTTTGGACTCTACTCTATTTGGTTCTCTACTCTCTAAGGTACTCTATTTTCTTCGGTACTCTACTCTTTTTGTGCTCTACTCTCTTTTGCACTCTACACTCTTTGGTTTCCTACTCTCTTTGGTACTCTATTCTCTTAGGCACTCTACTCTTAGGTACTCTACTCTCTTTGGTACCCTACTCTCTTTTGTACTCTACTCTCTTTAGTACTCTACTTTCTTAGGTACTCTACTCTCTTTGCACTCTTACCCTCTTTGGTATTCTACTCTCTTAGGCACTCTACTCTCTTTGGTACTCTACTCTCTTTGGTTCTCTACAGTCATTGGTATTTTACTCTCTTTCATACTCTACTCTATTTGATACTTTAATATTTTTGGGAATCTATGCTCTTTTGTACTCTTCTATGTACTCTACACTCTTTGGTACTCTACCCTCTTAGGAACACTGTTTGCTCTTTGAACACCTGATCTTTTGAACGACAGTTTTGCACTAGCATACAAAGTGACAGTGAATTTAATCTATGCAAAATCTATAGATAATTCTTTTTTTTAAATGCAAATACAAAATGTGGACATAACACGAAATTCAAGATTCAAGAATGTTCTAGAAAAAATAGTCACAGGCCTTGACCAATCTTGAACCTTCTGTTCTTAATATAAACAATACTAAACAAATATTATAAAATTATCAGACACCTCACAACACTTAGTCGAAATGAAACTTAGAAGATTTAATCAACTTTGATTTACAAAACAAGTTATTGTAAAATGGTCCAACTACTTTAAAGTGTTATATTTCTTTAGCACAATCTCTCCAAAAAATAGGAACTTCCGACTCTAACTGTTTTGTGTAACTTGTTCTGTGGATATCAAGGAAGGATGTGGAGATAACGAACAATATTCAATATCAAAGTCCATAAAACAATAAAAAAAATAGGAGCATAACAAACACGGACCTCCAAAACATCAGAGGTTGGGTCAGGTGCCATGGAGGAGTGGGCATCCCTGCTGACCGGTCACATCCGCCGTGTGCTCCTTGTTATGTCGGGAAATAACAGAAAACCCGTAATCAATTTTTTTGAATAAATGATGGGGTAACCATAAGTATGAAAAACGTTAGTCAGCATTTGATTCAATGATAAATTGTATTTTCTATTTTCTGTAGCAACCATAGAACTTACGAAATGATGACTTAAAACGAGCTAGCCGAAATTCTTGTTTCATCAACCTGTTTGTCAATAATTTACCTCGTTGCAGAAATTGTCTATACGTAGAGCATGCTTTTGCGTATTGAATCAACTGTAATATATAAACATTTTATGCAGGTGATGAAGGTATATATTGCTGCATAAGTAAGGGAAGTTGACAGTAGAAAAGTAAAAGTCATCACGTTTATCATGAAGCTTGGTTGTTAGATTATCATGTGTAATTTTTTTATATAAATTATTTCAAACAATTAGGATAAAATCATATACTAATCAATAGTCAAAAACATGAATATCAATGATTTTTTTCTAATTTCCATGAAGGGAATGATGCAATCCATGTATTAACCAAAGATCAGGACCAGGAACTGCGAATAGATCTCCAGAGATTTAATGGGGACACAGCGTATGCTGAATATTCCACGTTTTATATCGGAAACGAGGCTGATAAATACCGACTCACAGTATCCGGATACAACGGAACTGCAGGTAAAGATATTCAGTGACATAACCGTGATGTAAAGACCATTGTAAAACAGACGTTAAACAGAGGGCCTGACATTAACCTGTTGCAGTGTCATGATCTGATGTCAAACAGTATCAATTAAGTTGATAAAGAAATAACATCACGAAAATACATGCATTTCTTTAGAGGAAAGGCATTAGATAAATATAATTCAGAACTAGAGTGAAACGCATTTGCCTTTTCGAAAAGCGTCAATTTCAAAAACGTATTTTAAGACCTTTCGGTCATATGCATGTACATCTTTTAATTAAATTCTAGTTACTTAACATTTTTTATCATCACACCTGTTAAAAAACATTCTTCAAAAAGATGTTTTATTTGATATAAATTTAAATTAATTACAGTTTTTTTTTTGCAAAAACCTATGACATCATATGAGGATGAAAATACTTTAATGTGAAAAAAAATTCCACCAGTTCCTCAGCCATACGTTTCAGTAACCATGCATAGCGTATCATGTATTGCACATGAAATGGTATTTACTTAAGTATTGAATTCATATTGTGGGATGTCTTCGTCTGATAACACACCTGGCCGTGCCGACAAATTGAATACCGCGCGTTAGCGCGGTATGATAATCATAAAGTATTGAAAATGCATATAGTTCCTACTGTTTATTCTAACACTCAGTGACACGGTTTCGCGTGTGTTATTTAAGCATTGAATTCATATTTTTGGCTGTCTTTGGTCCTATAACACACCTGGCCGTGACGACAATTGAATACCGCGTGTTAGCACGGTATGATAAATTTGTCGGCACGGCCAGGTGTGTTATAGGACCGAAGACAGCCAAAAATATTAATTCAATGCTCATATTTACATTCTCTAATTTTTCTTCTTCATAATTGCTTATTTCGTTAATATTTAATGTGAATTTAGCGCCCTTCAAAACTTACGTGGTTAATAGACGTAAGAGCCGTTTGTGACGTCAGACGACGTTGCAAAGTTAAATAACGGAAACAAACATTGCGAAGAAAAAAAAAGTGACACATATTTTAAACGCACATTTGTAGTATTTTTACGTTAATTCAACAAGATTACAGTTTTTAATTAAATTAAGCCAAAACATTGTACACGGTTATAGCGAAGTCTTGGGACCTGTGAATTTAATTCGCTATATCCGTAATTCGTTATATCCGTATAGCAAATTCGTATAAGTATACATAGCGAATTTGCAATATGCACATTTTCCTTCAAATAATACTACCAAATATGGTAGGGAATCAATTATTACGATACATGCCTTGGCTAACTAAGTTTTTCGTTATGAATTGAATTTCATTTGCAAATTCTTACATAAATAAAGTCAGTTCAACATTTCTTATTTTGAGATTTTAGAAAATTCGTTATAAAAGTTGTAAATTTCATTATATTTTACCTCTACGGGACTCAAAATCAGTTCGCTATATCCGTAAATTCGCTATATCAGAGTTCGTTATAACCGTAAAATTTTACAAAGAATTGTTAAGAATATTGCCGGGAACCCCGAAAAACTTCGCTATATCCGTGAATTCGGTATATCCGTGTTCGTACTAAACGAAAGTTTTACTGTACATTTTTGTGTTCAGAGATTATAGAAAATGCATTTAGTTCCTATTGTGTATTCTAACGCGCAGTGACAAATTAAGGTTTCGCGTGTGTTATAGAAATTTGAATGTCGTGGATTTCTAATGAATTCCATAAGGAAAAATACACGAAATGTAAATATAGAGATTTGAACGTCATGGATTTCTAATAGATTTCATAAAGAAAATTACACTGAATGTAAATATAATCATATATTTACATCTGCAAATGTTTGCCTTCATATAATACTACTGGAAGCAATGTGTATCTATAACTGTATAAATACTGGTACGGGGTCAAGAGGTCATAGATATGGATAATCGTTCGACATAATTTCTCAGTGACGTCATAAAAGGTCGATGAGCGTTCAGTGGATTGTATAAATGCCGTTGGGTTTGACAAATAATGCATTTCACACGTTAAAAGTCACAATCAGGTAAATCGATAAAGTATGGATAAGTCACACATGTAAATATAAGTAATAAGGTATCATTTTAAAACATCTATCTGGCTATAAATACGGGTTGGTACGAGATTAAATTCACCATAAAACCCGAAGGGCTTTATGGGTATATATAATCTCGTGACCAACCCGTATTTATATCCCGATATATGTTTAATTTAACCTTTTGCTGCCAACGTAAATTTTTGAATTGACAAAAAGAAGTAACGTCACACGTAAATGACGTTACAATAGTTATGCGTTATTGAAAATTGCGGGTTAACGTTGTTTCAATGACGTAAATCGCACCTGGCGTTATGCAAATTTTACCAGAGTAAGATCCTGTTTCAGCGTAATGATCCTGAGACAAAGTATTTTTTTTTATTTAAGTAAAGGGACATTTCAAAAAAAATTGTGTTGTTTGAGCATAACGTCATCTCCAAAACGTACACGGCTATACGGTCGATTTCTTACTTTTTTAATTAAATTACTCACTGCTTGATAATTTGGTTGATTTACTGTGAAGTATAGGTAGTGGAAAATGGATGTATTATAGCCATCAAAAATTATTTCGGAATATGAATTGGTAAACTTTCCATTTTGCATACTGGTATGTATTTACAATGTACGGAAGATAAATACATTGTTTAAAGATAAAAGTACTCTGAAAGCATTCTGTATGAAATGTTATTTTTTATTCTAAACAAAAAAAAAATGATATACTTCATTTACTTATAAACCAGCTAGTCTGAAACTCTACACTGATAAGAAGACCGTGTAATATAGAGGTTAACGTCTTAATCAAGAAATTAAAAACCTAAAACAAATCGCGTGTATTTTTTTGCCATATCTTGATGTTTAGAGGATTCAAATACTGTTAGGATATTTTTGTCCTCCTGACAAGCCAAACCTTTATGCCATTTAATAATTGGAATAAAAAATCAAATGTGTCAATTAAAGACATTTCTCATCAACTATTTTTTGAAAATCATTGTTTCCTGGACATGTACGAACTTTGAAAACTGAGAGTCGGAAATAGAATAGTCCTCACTTTGTATGCCTCTATTCTTTTCTTAAGTAAATTGTGAATGATTTACCTCAACCCTTATAAGTACTGTCACTTTATTTTCAATCTGTACAGAGTACATATTAAACGTAAATGAATATACATGTACATTGCTTTCTGCTAAAATTGAAGCATTATGCAACAGTTATACATAGTTATAGGAAGTGGATGCATATTTTACATTTAACGCGTTCAGTGACAGAGGTTCTTTCGTAATAACTTGAAAAAAAATGAATAATGGTAAAGCGTAATTCTTTTTTTTTCATTTTTAAAACATTTAACGCCCTCTTCGGCCTCAAACAGCGGTTTGTCCTTTTTCTTTTACAATATTTTTAGAAATCGGTGGCGAGTTCAGATTTATGAATGGGATACGAGTCAGAGGCAACCAGCTCAAACTTGAAAAAAAAACCCATATGAATGGAGGGGAAAGGGGGGGGGCTTGGTTAAGTTTTTATTTTCAAATTGAGATTATCGAAATTTAATTTTTTGGGAATTGAGGTAAGAATTTGAATAAATCTAGAACCGAGCACACTTTTTTGTGCACAATAGATATAGTTTTTTTTTTTCAGTGGGTGGCACTGTAGCTGTTAGATATTTTTCAGAGAGCTACAGTTATTCAGCTCCACAAATTATGAAAATCGCCCTCCATTATATCACTAAAGTTAAAGATTCATATATAGTAGTATATCGCCTAAATTTTGGTAAATAACGAACGAAGCCCATTTATCCTTTAATATATTTTTCAGTTACGCAAGTCCATAATTAAAAAGAATTTGTTTTTATAATAAAACTAGCTGCAATAATGTAGCCCCCCCTCCGGGGGGATGACCCTCTCAAAAAAATATCAGATAAAAAAATAGGAGAGGGCTACATAATTGCGGCTAAAATAAAACATGAACAGTTATCCCCCTCCTGAATTAAAGAAAAATACCCCCCCCCCTAAAAAAAAATGTTCAATCACTTTATGCTATACTATTTTAACTGAGGAAACCAACTGTGCATTTGAGAATTACTGAAAAAAAGTCAATCAATAAGTTTATAACATTATAATAATGTATTCAAAACAATTCAAAATTAATCGCATGTTTTAGTAACTGTGTTTTTATTCATTCTCTCTCTCTCTCTCTCTCTCTGAAATTGTATTTGTCTATATAATGTTTTTAAAGGTACAACTACACACATGTACATATTCTATAATGTAAATGAAACTCACACGAGTAAGTAAGGAAAAGGTCGATATTTTAAAGAATCGCATATTTCGTCACGCACGTACTCTAAGGGATGGGGGCTGGGGTGGGGATGGATCGAAGTCTCTCCCATTTCTTTAAAAAAAAGAAATAGTAATATGCTATTATATAATACATGTACGAGGGTTGATCCAAAAGTAATGTCATAACTTTGATAAAATTGCTATAAATCGACGTAAAGCAACAAAATTATACAGGAATGAAGCTTTATTTATTTCAAATAAGACCTGAAAAATTCAAAGGAATATGATGTATACTTTTCAAAATATCGGATTTTAAACAACGTGCGTTTATGGTAGTCGCCGCATCTAAATATAACGTCACATGACGGATACACGCCGTCATAGTTTTAAGCGTTTCTCCTTCGTTTCATAAAAAAAAAAATATTTGTGATTCGCAAACACTTTCACCAATTCCACTTTCTTTAAGAAATCCTGGATACCATTACACACTCACTTTTTTATAATTAAGCCCTCTGTCAAAATTTTTTGAACAGTAGCATAAGATTAACTTTAAAATTCACATGTCACTCTATACGTTTGTCTTTTTGACAACGTCAGACACCATTCAACGTTTCCGTCCGATCTCCTGTCTTTCGTTCTTCTTGTCCTCTGCTAATCATTCAGTGACCAATCACCCGCCCAAAATTGCTGAAACCATCTATT